GGTGGAGGGTGGGGGCAGAGAGAGTAGAGAGTTAAAAGTAGAGAAGAGCCGGCGAAGACTGGAGGAGAAGGTATTAATTAGGGTAACAAAGTAGGCTTGCTTGGCAGCGTGAAGGGAGGAAGTGTAGGTTAGGAAGGCAGATTTATATCGGGTGAATGCTTGTTGGGATCTGGTTTTGCGCCATAGTCGCTCCAGCGCACAACTGCGTTGTTTGAGATTTTTTGTATGGTCGGTCTACCAGGGTTCTGGCGGTCGGGGTCTAATGTTTAATGTAGTTGGGGGTGCTAGCGAGTCTAGAGCGGTTCATAGCGAGTTGTTATAAACAGTAGTGGCCAGGTCAGGGCAGGACAGGGGAAGGATACTGTCGTAAAGTTGGTCAGCAGCAGAGTGGAAAGGGGTCAGGGTTCAAGTTGCGGAGGTTTCTGCTGGTGATAGTTTGACGTTTGGAGGGATAGGTGTTTGAGGATGAGGAGACTGTGAAGGTGATGAGATTGTGATCAGAGAGCAGAAATGGGGTGTTTGAGAGGTTATAGGGAGTACAGTGGTGGGAGAAGACAAGGTCTAAGGTATTTCCGTCGGAATGAGTGGAGGACTGAATACACTGCATACATATACAGTTGTGTTCAAAATAATAGCAGTGTGTTGAAAAAAGTGAATAAAGCTCAAAATCCTTCTAATAGCTTTTATTTCCATACACACAAATGTATTGGGAACACTACACATTCTATTCCAAATCAAAACATGAAGAAAAATATATCAAATTTGTGTTGTCCCTCTAATAAAAAATTGAAGGAAAGTGAATATTAGACTGTTCAAAAAAATAGCAGTGTTTGTATTCTTCTTTACAAACTCAAACATTCACTATATAAACTGAAAAATGTTTGAAGATTTTGCTTTCATTTGAATCACTTAATTAATATTTAGTTGTATAAGCATTGTTTCTGAGAACTGCTGTACATCTGTGTTGCATGGAGTCAACCAACTTCTGGCACCTGTGAACAGGTATTCCAGCCCAGGATGATTGGACTACATTCCACAGTTCTTCTCTATTTCTTGGTTTTGCCCCAGAAACTGCATTTTTGATGTCATCCCACAAGTTTTCTATTGGATTAAGATCCGGGGATTGGGCTGGCCACTCCATAACGTCAATCTTGTTGGTCTGGAACCAAGATGTTGCACGTTTACTGTTGTGTTTGGGGTCGTTGTTTTGTTGAAACACCCATTTCAAGGGCAATTCCTCTTCAGCATAAGGCAGCATGACCTCTTCAAGTATTCTGATGTATTCAAACTGATCCATGATCCCTGGTATGCGATAAATAGGCCCAACACCGTAGTATGAGAAACATCCCCATATCATGATGCTTGCGTAACCATGCTTCACTGTCTTCACAGTGTACTGTGGCTTGAATTCAGTGTTTGGGGGTCGTCTGACAAACTGTCTCCGGCCACTAGACCCAAAAAGAACAATCTTACTTTCATCAGTCCACAAAATGTTGCGCCATTTCTCTTTAGGCCAGTCAAAGTGCTCTTTGGCAAATTGTAACCTCTTCAGCGCATGTATTTTTTTCAACAGTGGGACTTTGCGGGGGCTTCTTGCAGATAGCTTGGCTTCACATAGGCGTCTTCTAATTGTAACAGTACTCACAGGTAACTTTAGACCTTCTTTGATCTTCCTGGAGCTGATTGTTGGCTGAGTCCTTGCCATTTTGGCTATTCTTCTATCCATTCGAATGTTAGTTTTTTGCTTTCCTCCACGTCTTCTTTATATGTTTTCCCCTCTCCAATCAACTTTTTAATCAAGGTACGCTGTTCTTCTGAACAATGTCTGGAATGACCCATTTTCCACAGAGTTTCAGAGAGAAATGCACTGTAACCAGCATGTACAACATTTGCTGCCTTCCTTCCTTAAATAAGGGCAATAATTGCCACCTGTTTTTCAAAGAATGAATGACCTCACTAATAGAACTCCACACTGCTATTATTTTGAACATGCCCCTTTCAATTAGTGATTCAATTACACAGAATCAGCAGCATGCATGTCATGACTGTTGGGTCTGTTGGATTTCTATTACTCTACTACACCTGCTAGTAAATTATTTGCCATGTAGAAATATAATTTCTACCAAAAACAGTGAATGATCAGGTTAGTGATGTCTGACTGCTATTATTTTGAACACAATAATACATATTCCCCTCCTAGCAAATATGGCTCCCAAGTGCAATTAAATCACTAATCCCTCCACCTCTAATCTCAAACACAAATTATTTTCACACCCCCTCCCACACACATCACACACAGGATAACTAGTCTAGACCTGCACCCCGCCTCCTCCAAGTCCCAGCAGAGAGAGTGTGTGTGTGGCTATTTTGAAACTCAGTGTATTGCAGAGCAAAAGTAAAAAAAAAAAATAAATAAATAAAAAGCAGTATTTCTTGCACCATGAAGAAGGTGGTACCTCTCGAAAGTTTGTCCTGAAAATTTGGATGTTAGTGCAAATGAAATAAGTATCACGAATAGTACTGGTAGCAAAGAAGCGTGAATGGGTGGATATGCTCAGGCTTCTCTTGGGGGTAGAAAAGGGAAGTAGATGTAGAGAATCAAGGAGAATGAATGTGCTTTATGTAAACTTCAATTTTCTGTCCACTTGGAACAAACATGATGAAGTAAGCAGAAAGGTGCTTTTTTTTGTACTGTGCTCATTATGGACAGATAATACTTTTTTGCAGGTCTGGTCACATGGTCTGTGCTGGAGGGACTGATGTTTGGGCAAATCTTGCCCATTAGCTGCTCTTCCTAAGCCCCGGTTCACACTGATGTAGTGCGGGAAATGCAGCGATTCCTGTGCGTTTCCTGCATCGTACAGCAATCGCAATCTGCTTTGGGTGTTATTGGAAACTTAACAACACTCTAAAAGCAGGTTGCAAACTCAATGTACTTGCTTGAACCGGATCGCATGGATATAAACATTGCTGGAATAAGGAGGTATTTCTGAGAGCTTAGTACTGTTTTAATAAAAAAAAAGAAAACTGAAGTTCTAATTTAATTGTCACAGACTTGGGGCTGCAGGAGAGCCACTGCCCAGAGTATTGTGTTTTCAGGTTATCCATTAGGAGCTGGTCACTCTTATGTCCAAAGGAACTATCATTGTAACATATGCTTCTTATGTAAAATGTATTCCTATGTGGGCTCCGGACTGTCAAGGTGGGTATTGTCTATGATAATGTGATTAGCTCTTATCTGATCTGTCTAAATTCAGTGTGTTTCTCTAATAAAGCAGTTCTTGTTTACTCCAAAAATTGGTAATGTCTAGTTCTTTGGGGTAGCTACAGCTACAGCTATAGCCACTTGCCTTGTGTTCCAGAGCTTGGGAAGCAGCATCTTTGCGGAGATATCCACTCGGAGTGTCCGGAATCTGTCACATTAACAATAAAGGATGAGTTCACCTTTGGAATATGCTACATGTTCCATACGGTTTTAACATATTTCAGCATCTGCACCCCGAACCCCCGATCCCCCCTTCACTTTGACAGCGGATCTTCTCCCCGCACGCACCCACAGCATAGTTGTCAGGGCTCTGCCCAGATGGCGACAACATTAATTCAAAGTTTCTTGTGCGCGCTATGGTAGTTCATTGATTCTTCCTGCTCTCAAGTAACTGTCTGCCCGTACGAGGTATGATGTGTATGAGGTACAGGCAAACAACAATCCTGAGAGTTTGCAGGAGCCTGAAAATGAACTGCTGATTGCAGGTGCAATGCTCTGCAGGCTGCTTAACCCTTTAAAGATGACCTTCAATCCAGAGCTGTTCCATGCAATACTTTTTTCTGCCACTAGATTTCCCTGTCTTCCAGTTTAACTGACTGCCATCATCAATCAACTTCTACTGAGCCCAGCCTGTCATGGACAAGCCCCTGGGAGTACATAATCAGGCAGCCTGAGCTAGGAGTATTAGGCAGGCCACATACTGTTAGATGTTTGTTTTTTCAGCCTCAGAATCATATTTTTCCATCTGCACTATACAGCATGAGCTTACAATCTTCCAGCTGAGGCTATTGTATTCTAACATCTAGCATCAGCTAATGTCAAAATTACCAGACAACAGCTGTATCTGGCATGAGTGGCTGTTAGAATTACTGAACAGCAGCTGCATCTGATTGCATGCAGGTGCTGTTTGGTTGACAGTTTTCCACCAGGCTACTTAGATTTTTCAATCGAAGACAATTGAAGGATGTTGGCTGGGAGAGCGCCAAACGCTAAGCAAATTTTGTCCAGTTCATCAGGTACTTGATGAAATTCAAACAGTGTATGGCCAATTTTATTGCACTGCATGCAGGCCACCAGTAAGGGCTGCTCACCACCACCTCTGTAGAAGAGAAAGGACCTGTGATGTCATCAGGTAAGGCAGAAAAAAGTTGTGTTTATACAACTATTCTAGGCAGACCAGCTTTTTACTGCCTAGATATCCAAATCTGTTGATTATTTTGACATGCAGTTTTCACTAAAACCCCTGCCTCTGTATAGGGCAGACCTGGTAACCTCTGCTTATGTATATTTTTCATCATCAGCTCTCTTAATGTAGGCCCATATTTTTTACTAGGGTGCACCTTTAGGTTTTACAGCATTGTCTAGCTTGAAGCTGTGACATTTGCATCACCCTGCTATTTTTTACGACACTTAGGGGTTTATTTACTAAAGTTGGTTCACTCAGAATCTGGTGCACTTCTGCACAGAAACCAATCAGCTTCCAGGTTTTATTGCCAAAGCATAATTAACTACTTTTTAACCGCAGATAGCCGAATGACGGCTACACTGCAGCCAGCCAGTTCTGGGAGGGCGTCATATGACGTCCTCCCAGAATGCACTCTCCTACACGCCCCCAGGGGTGCGCACCCGGCGATCTCCGTGATCGCTGTGTCCTACGGACACAGCTGATCACGTGATGTGGTAAAAGGCCAATCACAGCGGCCTTTTACCACGTGATCAGCCGTGTCCAATGACACGCTGATCACCGGGAAATGCAATTGCCGGTTCTCGGCTGCACTCTCCTCACGCTGTCAGATCGTGAGGAAAGTACTGCCGAGAACCGGCAGTTGTCAGAGCAGGGATCGGCACCGATCATCAGGGCACTGATGATCAGTGCCCTGATGATCGGTGCCAAGCAGTGCCACCCAACAGTTCCACCCACCTGTGCCCAGCAGTGTGCCCACCTGTTCCCAGCAGTGCACCCACCTGTGCCCAGCAGTGCGCCCACCTGTGCCACCTACCTGTGCCCAGCAGTGCACCCTCCTGTGCCCAGAAGTGCACCCACCTGTGCCACCCAGCAGTACCACACACCTGTGCCCAGAAGTGCCACCTACCTATGCCCAGCAGTGCCACCCACCTGTGAGCACCAGTGCCCATCAGTGCAGCCCAGCAGTGCTGTCAGTCAGTGCCACCAGTCAGTGCCCAGCAGTTGTGCCAGTCAGTGCCACCTATCAGTGCTGCCTATCTGTGACACCTCATTAGTGCCGCCTATCCGTGCCACCTCATTAGTGCTGCCTATCAGTGCCCATCAGTGCCGCCTATTAGTGCCCATCAGTGCTGCCTCATCAACGCACATCAGTGAAGGAGAAAAATTACCTGTTTGAAAAATTTTATAATAGAAACAAAGAAACTTTTTTTTTCAAATTTTTTGCAATTTTTTGTTTATAGCGCAAAAAGTAAAGTGCCAAGTGGCGATTAAATACCTCCAAAAGAAAGCTCTATTTGTGAGAAAAAAATGATAAAAATTTCATATGGGTACAATCTTGCATGACCGCGCAATTATCAATCAAAGTGCGACAGTGCTGAAAGCTGAAAATTAGCCTGGTAAGGAAGGGGGTATAAGTGCCCGGTAGGCAAGTGGTTAAACAAGCTGAGGTTAGAAGCTGATTGGCTACTATGCACAGGTGCACCAGATTCTGAGAGAACCAGCTTTAGTAAATAAACCCGTGTGAAAGATCAGACTTAATGTACGATGTGAGAATGTGAGATTCCTGCATCATCATCATACAGCTGAGGCAGTTTATTGAGATTCCAGCCCAATCTCTGATGTGATCAAGAGACATTTTGTTCTGCAGGCTGCCAGTGATGGGTGACGGGGAGAGGTTCACGTTCTCCAGGAAGATGGAACAAATGAAATGAGCAGCTGACAGGCACAGATGGCTAAAGAGGCAGGACATTTACCACTAGCTGGTAAAACAGATAACAGAAGGCCTGGAAAAAGAAGGAGAATGTCAGTCCAAATACAACTCTGGGATATTAGAAATCGGGGGCCTTGAAACAGCAAAGAATTGTTGCTTTAATATCTCTCCAGAGCAAACACTTACGAAGGACTCCATAGCAACCGATTAATATTTTACTTTTTTCCCAAGCAGATCTTTTTAAGACGGCTTTAATTCCAAAATAACAATAAGCTGCACCTTCAAAGACAACCACTTTATCTCTGGTACTTTGTCCTAATCTACATCAGATAAATGAATGTGAAACCTAAAGTAACTGTTATTTAGTTCAATTGTTTTCATTCACTGTTCGGGGTCCATTTACACTTCTGTGCTGTGTCAATGTGTGTTAAAACGTATGAGTTTACACATGTTGCCACAAAGCATAGAAAACCGCCTGTTCTATGTGTGGTTCATTGTGAATGGTACCCCAACGCATTGTACACAACACACACATCACCCAAATACAACAGCTATAGCAAGCATTGTGGTGCAATGTGTTTTGACTGAAGAGTCATGCACGTTCTTTTGGTGCATTGGCATCCTATTCATATTAAACCTTCATTACCCTCTTGTCATCCATGTAACACATATATGCAGCATCAAATAGGGTGGGTTTTAACATCCTCATCATAGAGTACCTATCGATACGCCGTGTCTGCCCATTTGAATGTGAGTGCAATACTCACCTTCTAACATCGTTTCTGGTCCTCCTACTATGCTTAGACATTGGCACTTTCTCTCCCCTTCTCTCATCTTTGTTTTCCATTAACTGGTGAGACGATTACAGAGCTTGCATGAAGGTGGGACTGCTGACGCTGTAGAAGTGTATTTCCCCAGGAGATATTATCCTATACAGCAGCTATCCAGAGTTTTTTTGTCATTTTCCTTTAAAACCAATGGAGGGGCATTGTACTGGCTGTGCTCTTCTTCACTCTGAGTTACAAGTAGATCCATTTCCAGGAGTTATGTTTGTATTTATAATTTTTTATGGGGTTGTAACGTCCACATTCTGCACACATGCGCCTATAGGCAGCATAGGTTTCTGTGTATAGAGCATGCTCACTATGCGCTCCCAGCACAGAGACCGCGCTGTCAAAAACTGCTTTCGGTCTATACTAATGATCAGGAACCAGCGGGACCAGATCCTGATACTTTGACCACCAATCACAGTGGTAACATAATTAGGCAGTTAGAGGGAGGTTGTAGTTAGAGGGAGCTCTAATGATTTGTAGTGTGACTTCAGGAGACTGAAACCAACAAGCACACTTAAAACTCTGAATGCAAATGAGCAACATGTGTTTGTGCTGTCCTCTTTAATGCAGTGATGATGCGCTGTATGGGCGGCTGTCCCTTTAGGAAGATGGCGCCAGGATCCTCACTTGAGTGATTGGAGAGGAATATAAATAAGACCTTCAAGCTAGACGTCCTTACCCTTTATGAATAAGTCAGGTGACGAAATGCGTCAAAGGGAAGTGACGTCAGAACACACAGCATAACCGGAAGTTGTCGGACGGCCATCTTTGCTCCTGGAATCCTCACACACAGACACAGGAAAGAGCGCTCCTGAGGATCTACAGAGGGTCTGGCTGTGCTTTTTTTTTTTTTTTTATCTACTCTTATCTACTGCTAAAGTATGAACTTACATTATTAAAGTATACCTAGATGATGAACGTTGTACTGCTGAATTCTGGTGTTTATACTCTGGGATAAGCGCTTGCAGATAAGCATTGTTGGAAGTATCCTTAGAGATTATACCATCATAGCCTGGTCAGTGGCAATTAGTGAGCTGGTGTATGGATGGAGGATCTGTGTCCTATTGTCTGGATTTACAAAGTGGTCTCTTGATTGAGATCTATATGCTGGTATTTTCTACATTTCTGGTAATAGTATATTAGCCATTAGATGTGGACACCCTCACGATTTGACACTGCATGCAAGTGTTCACCTATAGATCACGTGTGGTATTTATGGATTCACATGTGTGTGGTTCAGTGTGATTCACATGCGTTTGCAGTGATGTTCGTTTGATTCCATGTATTTATGGTATTATACATATTGTGTGATGGATTTGGTAAAATGCCTATTTCGTTTCCTATTGAATATATATATACGCTATTTCTATAAGCTCTATAAATATTTACTTTTATACTTTAATACATATGTTGTGTGAATATTTTCTGCCTGCTGGGCTTTGTGGTACTATAAGAAATCTTTGCTTAAGAAATGTCTGCTCACACACACTGCCCCCCTCCCACCGTGCCAACTTGTAACAAAGGAATGTTGTTTTCCTATGAGATAAGGCCTGGAAGAAGATCACACCTATACCATGACGGAGATTGTTTTCGTGTGGAAATGACCAATCAAAGTCTAATATAATGCTTATGCTGTTTCTCACATGACTCTTGCATCATTTTGCATATATAAGCTCACTTTTTCTCATTATAATAAACTAGAAGTGTTCATAGACTGAACTTGTGTGTCAGCGTGAGTCTCTTCCAATGTGCGCACATTCCAAAGCTAGCGTCATAAATTAGGACAGGAACAGATAAGCACAGATAAGCACCGGACGATTTCAGTCCTTAACTAAATCAATATTAGTTCTCTTTCTCTTGAGGTTTAATCTCCAAGAATTATTGGGACTATCATCTTGCTGGAACATTATCTCGTGGACTGTTTTTGGAATACTTATTTTGTTGGATATTTTACATATATACATTTTGGACAGTACTATTTAAGAGTTTATTCATTTATTTATTTGACATTTGTTGAGTAATAGCACTCTATGTATTATAGACCTTCCCAACCCCTGGGCATAATAGCCCAGTTGAAGGGACACTGGGGTAGATAGGACGGGATTAAGAAAAATAACTCTGTTTCCTTTAAAACCTCTCCCCACTCCACAGCAAGAACTTTTTTTTCGTTTGCACATCGCAGCCTGCACCCCATTCTTGCCACGACAAGAATGACGTGCTGTGCTATTGGTGCCTCATGAGTGTGCACATCACATATCCTAGGAGGTATCGACTTCCATTCATGGAAGACAGAGGAGGGCTGGCCTGACAGTGCATTATCAAGGGTGGCTGCCTAAATTCAGAACAAGCAGCCAGCATTTGTCCCAGCTGGCTGCATGTTATTGAGACAGGTAATGTCAGAGTGCAAAGTGAAACTTCCCCTAGGCTTCTCTTCGACTCATCTCCCAGCCATAAAGTCCCAGTGTCTGAGGTCTGCGCTAGAGAGGGGGATAAGGGGATTTGGTCTAGAAGAAGGGGAGGAAGAATTATGCTAGAGTGAAAATTTGTGCTGAGAGGGGCGATTTGGGGTAGAGGATTTGTGCTGGGAGGAGGGATTTGGGGGTGGAGAATTTGAGCTGGGAAAGGGAAATTGGGGGGAGGATTTGTGTTTAAAGGGAGAAGTTGGAGATGGGTGGGTAAGAGGATTTATGTAGGGGAGGGGATTTATGCTGAGAGGGGATTTGGGAAAAGGAGGGGGTAAGAGGATATGTGTTAGAAGAAGGGGTTTGGGGGAGAAGGATTTATGCTGGGAGGGGGTATTTAGGTGGGGGAATAAGAGGATTTGTGTTAGGGGAAGAGGATTTATGTTGGGAAGAGGGATTTGTGCTTGGAGAGGAGACGTAGGGAGGGAATTGAGGATTTGTGCTAGAAGGAGGGATTGGGTTGGAGTATTTGTGCTGCAGGGGTAATTTGGGGGGAGAAGAGGATTTGTAATAAAAGGGGTAATTGGGGGATTATGCTTGGGGGGGTTGAATGGAGAAGATCCCATGCTAGAAGACAAGAGAGAGAATTTGTGCTGGGAGGGGGGATTGGAGAGAGAATATTTGTGCCGGGAGGGGCGACTGTGCAGCTTAGTACTGGATTTTTTTGGGAGGAAAAGGAGTGTGTATTTTTGTTGAAAGACTAAAATGGGGGAGTATTGCTTGTGGGGGAAATGTTGCCCTCTCCTGACCCATACAATGTACATTACACACCCCAGACTAGCACTCCTTTCATTTTGTACTCCTGCCCCTACTGTGCATTACACACTCCTGTCCCCTGCATTCTGTGCATTACATATATTATTGACTGCAGTACGCACCCCTGAATTTACATATTTCTCACCAAAGTGTTCCTTCAACAGTTACTGGTTGCTAAGCAATCGTTGACTATTTTAATAACGTTCTTCTGTACGGTAGGCTCAAACAATGTGTTGACTCTCGCTCTGTTTTCATTGTGGTCAAAACCATATGTAAATGGAAGAGTTTATTTTATTTTTTTAATAATTGTGCTGAGGTTT